CATCCATCTATCCATTTTCTTACGCTTATCCAGGGTCGCAGGGATAGCAGCCTAAGTAGGGAGGCCCAGATTTCCCTTTCCTTTTGAAAATAATAAAAAAAGCAACCTTGTGGCATTCAAGTTGACCGCAAGTACTTGAAGTCCTGCACCTTTGTGACCTCTGCTCCTCATAGTCTCACTGTTCCAACATTTGCCCTCTAATTCACACACATGTACTCTGTCTTACTACGGCTGACTTTCATTCCTCTTCTTTCAAGTGCATACCTCCACCTCTCCAAGTTCTCTTCCACCCGTTTCCTGTTCTCACCACAGATCACAATGTAATCTGCAAACGTCATAGTCCATGAGCATTCCTGCCTGACCTCATCTGTTAATCGATCCATCACCAAAGCAATCAAGAAGGAGCTCAGAGCCGATCCTTGATGCACTCCCACCTCCACCTTGAAGCCATCTTTCACTCCTACAGCACATCTCACCACTGTCCTGCTGTCCTCATACATGTCCTGTACCAGTCTAACAGACTTCTCTGCCACTCCAGATTTCCTCATGCAATCCCACACCTCCTCTCTTGGCACTCTGTCATATGCTTTTTCTAAATCCACAAAGACACAATGGAGTTCTTTCTAACCCTCTCTGTACTTCTCCATCAGCATTTTCAAAGCAAAGATGGTGTCTATGGTGCTCTTTCTTGGCAAGAAACCATACTGCTGCTCACAGATAGTCACCTCTCGTCTTAGTCTTGCTTCTACAACTCTCTCCCAGATCTTCATTGTGTGACTCATCAACTTAATCCCCCTGTAGTTGTTACAACTCTGTACATCACCTTTGTTCCTAAAAATGGTCATCAGCACACTTCTCCCGCATTCCTCAGGCATCTTCTTACCATTGAATATACCATTGAATATTTGAGTTAAAAACCGTGCTGCCATCTCTACGAGACATTTCCAAACCTCCACTGGCCATGAGGTCCTACTGCATCTGCGTCTTCATTCTTTTCAGAGTTTTCCAAACTTCATCCTCACTGATCTTTCCTACATTCCTGGTCCATAGCTTCTATGACCTCTACTCGTTTTTCCGTTTCATTCTCTTCATTCATTTGCTCCTCAAAGTACTACTTCCATCTTCTTGTCACACTTTCCTCACTTGTTAGAACATTACCATCCCTATCTTTAACGAGCCTAACTTGTTGCACATCTTTCCCATTCTAATCCATCTGTCTCACCTATTGGTGCAAGTCCTTCTCATCCTCTTTAGTGTCCAGCCTCCCATACTCATCATACGCCTTCTGCTTTGCCTTAGCTACCTCCCCCTTTGCTCTACGTCCCATCTCTTTATATTCCTGTCTCCTCTCTTAAGTCCTCCCTGTCATATTTCTTCTTTGCTAACCTCTTTCTTTGAACGGCATCCTGCACTTCACTATTCCACCAACAGGTTTCCTTATTATCCATTCTCTGTCCAGATGACAAACCAAGAACCTTCTACCTGTCTCTGTAATTACTACTGTAGTAGCCCAGTGATCTGGAAGCTCTTTCTTACCACCCAGAGTCTTTAACAGGTCCTCTCTTAACTCCTCACTACATTCTTCTTTCCTCAACTTCCACCATTGGTCTTCTTCACAGATTTTACTCTTTATTGTTTTTCACAACAGTCATTCTACACACAACCATCTGATGCTGTCTGGCCATGCTTTCCCCTGTCACAACCTTACAGTCCCCAATCTCCCTCAGGTTTCCTCTTTTACACAGAATGTTCATTCAATTCATTCAAACTTTATTTAGACAGGTAATCCCATTGAGCCTCGAGGACTCATTTACAAGACAGACCTGATAAGAAATGTAGAATGTAGAATGTAGTCAACCTGCATACTCCTGTCTCCACTCGCATAGGTCAGTCACTCTATATTCCTCCTTTTTTTAGAAATAATTGTTGACTACAGCAGATGGCATGGTGGCCCAGTTGGTAGAGCTGCTAATTCTCAGCAAAAAAGGTTGCTGGACAAAATCCTGGCTGGTGGTGGTGTGTGTGTGTGTGTGTGTGTGTGTGGGGGGGGGGGGGATTCTGGGTGGAGTTTGCATGTTCTCTCCGTGCATGCGTGGGGTTTCTCCCGGTACTCAGGTTTCCTCCCACAGACCAAAAACATGTATGTTAGGCTGATTGATAACTCTAAATTGTCCCTAGGTGTGAGTGAGAGTGTGAATGGTTGTTTGTCTCTATGTGTCCCTGTGATGGACTTGCAACTTGTCCAAGGTGTCCCCCGCCTCTCGCACAGTGACTGCTGGATATGGGCAACAGTGATCCCCCTAGACCCAAAAACAAGAAGCAGGAAAAAAGATAATGAATGGATGGATGGATGGATGGATGGATGGATGGATGGATGGATGGATGGATGGATGGATGGATGGATGGATGGAAGAATGGATGTTGACTACAGCCATTTCCATTATCTTGGCAAAATCCACCATGATTTTTCCTTCCTGGTTTCTTTCCTTGACACCAAGCCTACCCATCACTTCCTCATCCCCTGTGTTTCCTTCACCAACATGTCCATTCACGTCTGCTAAGATCACAACTCTGTCCTCCCTGGGAATACTCTCTATCACTTCATCCAGATCCTTCCAAAATTTCTCTTTCTCTTCTACATCACATCCAACCTGTGGAGCATAACCACTGACAACATTTTACATCAGACCATCTACTCCTACCTTCAGACACATCACCCTATCTGACACTATTTTAACTTCTACTGCATTCTTTGGTAATTCCTACTTCAGGACCA